TATATCAATGTGATAACAAGAAACACCAACTTCCCGAATATATTAAGAAAAATAACAAAAGTGCTTCTATAAGAAAAAGAGAGTAAAAGAAACACATTGTTAATTTTATTTTTTAACTTAATTTAACAGTCATGTTTTAGGCCTGTGGGAGAAAGGCAGAGTTCCTGGAGAGAACCGACGCATGCACAGGGAGAACATCCAAACTCCATGCAGAAAGACCCCAGACTGGGAACCGAACCCACAATCTTCTTGCTGCAAGGCAACTGTGCTACGCACTGCACCTCCACTTTTTTCTTTACTTGATAACTTTTTTTTCACCAAGTTAATTTACAGTAGGTAATCTATAAGTCAAGGGCTCATGTAATTGGTCAAATGTCAAAATAAGATGTACAGCTATGTAGCAGTATCTTTGCTGAATGGAACTAAAACAGCAACTTGCTCTATAAAGGGTTAATCAATAAAAACTGTTTTTTATATAATTTCTCATTATGTATTTGTTTGATCCAAAACAGTTATTGAGAGTAAAGAATAAATGTTTTTTTTTTTTTTTTTCATTAACTCTTATTTATTGACATTTAAATGTGAAGTAGGTTTGAATTTCAGGAAACTATTAGTTTATGGGTGTTTTGTTTTTGAGGGGGGGGGGGTGCAGCAGGGTTCTTAGGATGAAGTTTAGATCACAATCTGTAAACAATAGCGCCCTCTGTAGGACATATCATGTCGCGCACCTCGTTTAGTTTAAAACCTAAATTAAAAAAATAAACATTTGACTCAAGAAACAATTCAGACGTGTGAATCTACATGTAGACATGAAAATATCAATAGGAAAAACTTTTAGGGTAAATAACTGATTTTAGAGACAGAATGTGGAGAGTTGGTTGCTAATCAAAGCAAATTTTAATCCCGTCTCTTCTTTTTTTTTCACCACTAGGTGGAGCTGTCTTCTATTACTTTTTACCTCAAGTGTGAACACACACACTTTACAAAACAAAGGAAATCTTCAGGGTGTCAGTATCACTGTTGTAAAGAAGTTGAAATTAGTTTCAGAAAACAAAATTATTTCTTTTTTTATTTAAAAGATACATAAAAACAAATTTCAAGGCAAATTCAGTGTCTAAGAAAAATTCCAGTATTTAGTAAAGTTATGTGAAAGGACAAAGTAGGGTAGGAAAGGTTGCACCTGCAACAAAGATTATAACCATGGCCACTAAAGGACTGCCAGCAAAACACATTCGAGGAAAGGTTTGAGGCTGGAGTCAGAGCATCAGGACTTATTACCCACAGACATGGCCTGTTCTAGACAAGGGCCAATGGGGCCAGTGCCCCTGTAGATCATGTTCTGGCCACTGTACTGAAGACATGATACTCAAAGAAATTCTAATGATGATATGCACTGGAACAGACATGGTTACTGATAGGTCCTTTGTATCTATTTCATGTTTTTTTCTCTACAAATTCTGTTTTACTAATACTTTTAAAACAATAAGGTGATAGCTACAGGTACTGAGATACTGTAGGATCCCAGTTTTCATCTGCTAAATGTTTTTTTTTTTTCAGAACAAATTAAAAAAAAAACAACTAACTTTTACAGCTGAATTTATGATTTTCTTGAGTTATAATTCAGACTTTATTGAAAAAGGTTATTTTGGTGAACCTTTTTCACTTTTTTAGTGAAAGTGAAAATATGTAAAATTCCTAAATTCTGAATGTATATTGACCTAATAGGACATAGAATTTTAATTGAACTTAATTGAATAGATATGTCGTCTTATGCAGCACTCTTTATATATTTGAATCCCTTGCCCTGTTTTTAATTTCATAGCTTTCTGTGCCCCCATGAAAACACGCTGTGCCCCTCGTACATTTGGTCTAGAACCGCCACTGCCGACAGAGGAATTTAACACATGGGCTGCAAGAGTCTGACCTAGACTATTGAACTATTAATCATTGATCCAAAGTCCTCTTAACATACTTAAGTTTGCATTTCATTTGGAAAACAGAATACTTTTGAGCATAAAAAATAAAAACTTTTTGATGTCTTAGGAATGCAGTCAAGTGCAAACATAACTTCAGTTTCTCCATCCAGCCTGAGATGCTTTGGAAAGTGCTGTTAGTTTGTAAATGGGCAAAGTTGGTAAAGACGTACCCGTGTGTTGACTCAGCGAAGCTATGGAAATGTGCTCAAGATTTTTACTTTCTTGCTGGATGAACCGCTTTATGCCTTCCACCTCCTGGAGCTAAAATACTTTCTTTGCGGATGCAACATGAGACAATAAAGTTCAAGGTGCATGAATACTTTTTCTTGCCATTTTAAATACAGCTTTGATTAGACATCCAAGGTCTGCTGCAGCAGAATGACTGCTGTATTGTTCTGCAGTAGATCCTGACGTCCACTGATGTAGCATTACCCCCTTGCTTCTGACCACTGGTGGAAGTGGTGGTCCTGAGGTATAAAAACACAGGATTGCCAGAACAATCCTCATATTTTATAAGGTTAAATGAAGAAATTAGTCTGAGATCAAACAATCTAGCTCACAGTTACAATAAAAACACCACATGCATAAGAATCAAAGTTCATACCGAAAATAACAGCAAGAAAATAAAGAAATCCAACTGAACTTCTGCATCCCCACCAATCACAATAACTCCTCTAATGAAAGAAAGGAGAAATAAGTAAACGTTTACCTCTTGATAACCATTCTTAAAGAGATAAATCCATTTTTATGTTTTCAGACGTAAAAGTTATCATTATGAAAATAGAAATAGAGTTGCACTTTGAGGAGTCTGGAAAAATTTCTCATTTAAGACACAGTTTTCTAAAACAGAATGAATCCATTTAAATGATATTTTAATTGCGTTGCTCTGCTTTTACACCAAAGCCTTATCATATAAAAATTGAATTTTTATTTTTGCCTTCGAAAGCTCTGTTTAAACTAGTTTTGTCTTTAAAATAAAATTATTTTAGAATAAAATGTATTAAATATTCCAATAAGAGATCAATAACCAAAAAACAACAGAGAGAAAAAATAAAAATCATCAATATTCTTTAAATCAACAGTTTTCAGTTCATAAAGGCACCAACTGACTATATGCATGTTGATGAACTTTCTTTGAAACTAATAGTAGAGATTGAAAAATTTATTTCAAATATCTTTTAACTGTAAACACATTTTTTCCTCATGTATCACTACCCAATGAGATACTGGTTTTTATCAGAAAGTGATCAGTGAGTTTCATTTTAAAGTGCTTGAAATTAAAATCAAATCAACTTAAATCAGGTTTTTTTCTTAAATCAGAAAGTCTCATCGATATATTAGACATGATTCCTAAAAGGATGGAAAAACTGACAACAGTGGATCTACGGTAATCAATTTTTAACATAAATAAAATCCCTAAAAATGGTTAAAGATAATCGTATCTTCAGAGAAGTGAAGTAAAACCTCTCAGTTTTTATTTTTTTTTGTAATAAAACCAAAGATCCAGCAGGTGTTTAGAAAACAGTTCCGTATTTATTGCAAAATACTTTTGTACAGAATCGAACAGAGAAAACATCAACAGAGGAGGAATGGACAGTAAGGCCAACATTAGAAGTCCGAGAGTTGAACTGTACAAACACCAACAGTGACGTTTGCTGCTTTATTTGATAACTTTTTATACAGAAACCGTTTCACCGCGCTCACAGCAAATCTCCTTGTAGGAGGAAAAGAAAATTAAAACAATTTCACACATTTTTCTGAAACTTTATTGCCTCACCTGCAAACCCATCAATGCAGAACAACAAAGGATGATCCTTAAATACGGAAACCTCTGTAAGAAACATGTCCCTTGATTAATAATGTCTCACGAAATATAAATATATATATATATATATATGTTTATATTATATATAAGTATATAGTTGTAAAAAGCTCCAAACGATCATGTTTTGGGAATGAGAATAGCATCACCTGTCATGGAGGTTCAGAGGTTGACTGCTGAAGCTAGAAGCCTAACACCACAAACTGCAGAGATTATACTTCTGATCCCAAACTACGTTTTATTTAAATCACACCGCCGGAATAATGAACCCGCTCCTCCTCTTTGACCTCAGGGTGGCGCTGTTAGAAGAGTGCATCTGTGTAGTAACGGGCGTGCATGTTCATGCACATCCTCATGCGATTTGGCACTGATGTAGAAGTTCATTCCTCATAGCATACCATGAGGAAACTCTTAGCTCTTTTCTTGATACGCTTTAGTTTTTTTCTTCACACATTAAAAAAGGCAGCGTGAGACAGGATACATCATCTCCCCTACCAACATTCAAATGTACATCTTAAACATTGGCTCTCCCACAATCTGGGAGCTGCTGAAGACATAAAAGCCTCCTGTCTCTGGAAGTCCCACATAAAAATTGTAAAATTAAGTTTAAATTAATATGAGACTAGATTTTTTTTTTTTTTTTCATATATGCATAAGCCCTTCAAGAAAACACGACAACACAATGAACAGGATTAAGCTGATGTACAATCTAGAACTCCAGAGGAGAAAAAAGGGACGGCTTGCTTCCGAAATACTCGACTGGTGAGACAGAAACAGAGTCATGTTTTTGATTCTACATTGCACAATACACCTGATAAAAACTTTAGCATAAAAAACGCATGATGAGCCTCTTTTAAAGGGGAAATCCAGTGACAAATCCAAAGGAGCAGAACAAAGTGGCCCTTTTTAAAACGATAGGGGTATTTTTTTCTGTTGGCTCAGATTGTATGTCTGTTAGAACCATTTCACACTTGGCACTAACGTCTGTCCTGGACTATCCAACCACATTGGGACAAACCTAAATACCGGTGAGGACAAATTTCCTTGCACCTCCCTTACGGGCGACCTGTTCGCCCCCCCTGTCTGCTATCACAAAGCCCTCGTGACTGTAATGTCATCATCTGTGCTACTGGCTGTGTGCACCGGCGGGGACGTTAATGATCCCAAAGTAAAAAGTGCATGCTCATCTGTGAGGTCCAAGTGGCTTAAATTCACAGAGGTACCTAAAAGCTTATAGAGTCTGAATGAAATCCATCCTGGGAGACATAGAAGGACCCCCACTGACCGGACCTGATCACACTAAGAGAGCAGAGGTAACTGACAACTCTCCTGTGAAAGTAACAAAAAAAAAAAACTTTTCATGAATAGCGTTGCAATAATCAGCACTATTTTCACCAAGGCAGATTAAGCTGGTGTCTGAACTCTACAGATACAGTTTTCTCAGTTAAGAGATTTAATTAACTCTGTTAAAAATGCTCTATAACAAGCCATGGTTGTGTTAATCATTGTATATCATCTGGGGTAAAGCTGAAAATGTTTATGCGGTATACTGTATAGTTTATTTCCATCTTAATATTTTTTATTAGTTGACTGATCCTCCTGCAGTCACCAGGTCATAAAAAGACTCATAAAAAACACAGATGACCATTTTCTGGTTTTCACACCCATGTTTCATAATATTGGTAGTAAAAGCGTCAAGTAGCCGATGGCCACTAGCCTGCACTCAGTGCTGTGCTCTCAGTCAAAATCTTTATTGTCTGTGCGCTGACATTGAGGTTTTTTTGGGGTTCTTAAATAGTTTTTTTTGTAACAATACTGTCTGTTACAATACACAGTTAAACTCATGAGTTTGTAACAAAAATAACAAAAATCCAGTTCAATTAATCTACCTCAACAAATAATGTAGTTATAATATGCATTTGTAATGGAACGGATCAGTAGATGTGTTGTTTGTTGCTTTGATGAGCACACTCTGCGATATGACTAATGTACGTGTTTATGTGAAATTAAAAGTGGGGAAGTGATCTGATAAGCACTGATTTTAATGCTTAGCTTGAATGGATGTAATTAGTAAAGCCTAGCTTAGTCTGAGTTGCCCAAGATGCATGTCAATACCAGGTCTTAACAAATTTCTGTATTTATTTGTGAAAATATAGCATTTGGTGCTTGGAATCTAAAAATTTAATCAGATTAGCATTATTGTTTCATTTGGCAAAGCTTTTCATTTTCTTTTTTACATTTAGAAGGGAAAAAGAAATCTTCTTTTTGCAGAATCTGCTTTGTTAATTGTTAGTTAAATGTGCATACATCCTCAATGTATCCAAGTTTTTTTTTTTTTTTAAACAAATTTTACTTTGTTATTGTTACTTTTCTTCCTCTCAGCAACAATTATATACAATGTGCTGTAATGGAAATAGTTTGAGAGTCTGGGAAAGGCTCTTAAAACATTTATGGATATTTTCCGAGTATTTCCAAGATGCGATACCCTGAGTAGCCAACATAGGCTTGGATTGAACCTCAGTAGAACTAAAATATAAAAACATTTTTTTTTTTTTTTGCTAAGCAAAGAAAACAAAATAAAATACTTTCACACATAAATAAAATTCTGTAATCAGACATATATAGACAACCACAAACGTAACCCTAAAGTGAATAACACAAAACCACAGATTAGCTGTGGCAAACGAGTCATTTTCAGCTTTACAATATGCATACACTCATGCATTATAGTGTGTTTCCCCCTGTGCATACAGACAGAGGGGTTTGGGGTCTAAATAGCGAGCCTCTAGCTTTACCAGCCCTCTGCAGAGCCTTCTGTTGATAGACGTAAATGAGAGCGATGTATTTCGCGGGTTAAGGAGACTGAGGATAACAACTGATCTCTAGGCAGACGTGTAAACAGAAGCGGCGGGAAAACCACAAAGGATGATGGGTAACAGACATCCACTTAAAGCAGCAAAGATCAGACAAAGTACAACAGTTTTGGATGGGAAAAGGAGACACAAGGAGGAACCGTTTGTTTTCCGCTGCTGCTTTACCAACCAGAGGATTCAAAAGGGGGCATTAAGTTAACTTGCCTCAGGCTCAGTTAAGAGTCAGACCTGCTGCAGGAATCAAAATTAAAGCAATGCTCCTGCGCTGCTCGAGATGGAAATCTACTAAAATGTAACAGTGGACTCAGAGCGATCTAGAGCAGCGTCTTTTATAAAAGTTGAGTGATTGTTTGATCACTGGCAGGGATGAGGGGCACAAGAGTGGTGCACCTCTGCAGCCCTTCCTGCAGCCTCTATGTGGTCATCAGACCTCGGAGGACAGTCTGGAGCTCAGACAAACAGCTGGATCCGCTCCCGGATGGTCTGCCTGCAGATGGGGCAGGTCTTTAGTGCGGCGCTGCAGTCGATGCAGGAGGCGTGTCCGCACTGGAAGACCAGCTTAATGTGGTTGTCGATGCAGATGGGGCAGGTGATGCGCTCCTCCATCTGCCTGTAGCGGGACTGCAGCTGCTCCAGGAGGTTGTGCTGCTCAGAGTTCTCTGTGCCAGGGCTGCAGTCCACCTCAGTTTGGTCTGTGGAGCAAATCATCAGCAAGAGTCAGTTTTAGTCGAGTCAAGAGAATTATGTTTTGTTTGTTTTTTTGCAGGCTGTGCAGCTTTAAACAAGGTGAGACTAGTCTGCCATTTCTGTGAGCTACTGTCAATATATTACTGGAATCTAATAAGCGGACGTACACACATTATGCATAACTGAGGGTTGGAAGGAAAATTATGGCTTTCAAATTTTTTTCTGATATCTGAAATCTGATATCTGTAGCATGCATTTTTTATGGCATCCCTCCAGTTCATTTCCAATACCACCTTTTGCTGCCATTATGCATGTCCCTACCAGCTTTCCACATCTAGAGCCAGACGTTCCCAACTATTCATCTTTGCTGTTTTCAGCCACTAGGGGCGCTAGTACTGTACTTCCCATCAGAAGAGAAACCGTTAACCCTGCACTGTCCCAAAATACAGCAGTCTCCCTCTGTGCTTTGGAGTCTCACAACAGACCACTTTGGACCAGCAGGTTGGGGAGTCATTAAATTCATTGTTCAGAAAAGACACCCTCCCGCCCTTCTATATCTTTTATCAGACATTCAAAAGTGTGTCTGATCTGGTAAGAGTCATATCTGTTTGTTGCCTTACAACCTCTTAGCACAGTGTGCTTTACAGCAAAACTCAAATGTTTAAGTCCTAAAATAGCAGAAGCTCAAACAAACTGATTTAAGAGCCTCCATAAAAATCCTCTAGGATTGCCCTGTATTTACTGCCATCCATTCTCCACTCAACATTCCCAGCTTCTTTGTCCCTGCTGAAGGAAAGCATCCTTGCAGCATGACACTGCCTCTACCATGTTCCTCCATGTGGAAGCTCCCTGAGCTGTCTGCTGTGGTTCTGGATCTTTGTGATCCTTTTTGTTCACTAATGCTAATTAACAAACCTCAGAGTAATGCCTTAAAAGACATATACAATGGATGTTACATTTAAAAGTAAAGAATAAAAATAATGTATATTTTTTATCCATTACATAAAATCCTTATATACAGAAACCTGCGGTTCTTATAGGACTAAATGTGAAAATTTCTAAGTAATGCGAATAGTCTCACTGAAAGCTAGTGTGTAATTTTCAGCGACATCTAACGTCCAGACTGCAGACCGCAGCAACATGAACATCTCCCCCCCACCGCTTCTCCCCCCCAACAGTACGGCGAGCGTTACGGGACAAAATGTCTTCCACGACGTCCGCATCACCTACCTTCTCAAGTGATGAGGTTTGTTTACATAGATAACTTTACAGATAGTATTTCATTAGTCTACTGCAATCTATTGTTCAGTACCGTCTAAGTTCATCTCTCTCAACTTGCCGTAGTTACTTTCGAGCGTAATGGGCGATCTCGCAATCGCTAGTTTGTTGGCTCTGCGCTGCCGTAGCGCAAAGATGTCTGCCTCCATGGCTGCGAGACCCGCTCCTATGTAATTATAAATAACGAATTCTAAGGCAACGCAAATATTAAGGTTAAGAGGCTGAGCTCGTAGATGATGATAAATAACATAGTTATGTATAATATATTGCATTTCTGACTGTATATCCCTGTAATTATTACACACTGTAGCTTGAAGCTCAAAGATCTTTGCAACTTTAATCAAGTCACTTATAGAAAAGGAAAAAAATTAAGCTAAAAGTACAAACACATTTATCCACAAAAATACTGTGAATATTAAAAAAATGTACTGTGTCATGTGAAAAAAACAAATGATTTTCCTAATATATTAAAGTATTTGTCATAAAAAAAAAAAAAGAAATATCTCATTTCTTCTTACCTTGTCTTATTTTCTTGGTTATTGTGACCTGGCATTTGATGCATTTCTTCATTCGATGAGCACATTCTGTAAAGACAAAATTAAGGAAACATGGAAACACATCCGTAAAATTAATGACACACAAGACGACCCCCTCAGCGCACCCACGGCTTTCAGACTTACCTTCACAGGCCACGCTGTGCTGGCAGGGGCAGAAGAGAACCAGCAGAGCGAGCTCTGAACAGATGAGGCATTCACTGGGACCTGCCGGCGTGGGAAAAACCAGGTTGGTCATGGTGTTGGGCGTAGTGTGGACGCGCCGCAGGCTTGCACTGCTCAGTCCCTGTCCGCATGTGATGGCCTGGAGACGCTGCAACCTGAACGACAACAAACAGCCATGGGTGTACATCTGAAGTCACTCCAACACATCAACAAGACATTATTTTGGAAATTCATCCCACAACATGGATTTGTTTACTATAAATATCTATCTTCATAATCCTCTTTTCATTTCTAGCCTCTTTTGCATATTTCTATAACCCTATGATTTATTGCTTACATTTTAAATTACTATTTTCAGTAACTTTGGTTTATTATCCATACAGCTTTTCGTCAGTCTAACAAACAGATCAGCCCCTTTATGAGTTTCTTTTGATTAAATGTTTGAAATGAAACAGATTTTAATATCCAACTAAGTTAACTTAATAAATAATGTTTTTAAATCAGTGTTTCATTTACTGAGAGGAGAAAAAAATAAATAAATGTTGTTGCCTTCTTTGGTTAAATAATGAATTGTGAATAATCTGATTTTGTGAAAAGAAATACATCTATAAAACCTGGCGGACAGAATGAAGAACGATAAAGTCTGGCCGTAGGGTTAGCTTTGTTTGGTAGCTTTGTGAGTTTTTACCTGTGCTTCTCAGAAAAGTTCTTGATGAGCTGCAGCATGGTGCTGTCTGCTACCAGATCCAGCGGACTCTTTCCCTTGTGGTTGGCGTAGCTGATGTCAGCACCTTCCTGCGCCAGGAAACAGGCGATAGCCATGGCGACGTTCAGCTCAGTGTTCCCCAGGAGACCCGAGGAGTTCAGCTTTGGACACAGAAAGAGGAGGAAAGGATGAAGAGGAAGGCAGGGAGGGAAAGAAACAAGAGTTCAAACGAGAAAGGTAGGATTTTTTTTCCCTCAGATTGAGCTAAAACAAGTCAAGGATGGAGTTAAATCAAGCATCAAAGGAGGAAGTTAAATGCGGGTGATCCAGATTTAGACGGTACATAAACCCACATCTAATCAACACAGAAGAACTCCCTCAACAGCTCATCTGCTGACAGTGGCCAAAACAGCCCTGGGCCCTTGCTGTAAGTCTAGCCACCTTCATGGCTGTGGATGAGTGTTTTTTTGTGTTTATGCTGGCTGAGAGCCCAGGATGCTGCACTGTGAGCGGTCAAATAGAGCAATGAGGACAGGTTTTTCATCATCAAATATTCCCATTGTTTAATGGTACAAACTCAATGAAACATTTCACATTAACGGAAAAAGACAAAGGGTCTCCTAATAGGGAAAATGGTTATTTTCATTAAATGTTTTTGAAACCAGGAGGGATAAAAATATACGAGTTTGACCTTTACTAAATGCTGACCTTTATTAAATGTACCATAAGCAACTCCTGACTTGAATAATCTGGTGATTATAAATGATGGATTAGCACTGATTAATGGCCATTTTATTTCCGATCAGTGAAGCATCAGAAGCTTAAAGCATTAAAAACTGATTGGAAATCAAGTCACATACTTGGTGCATTTCTTGTTTTACCATGACGTAATTAGCTCAGTAGGTTTATACAACTACTTCCTGCTCAGTGTATCTTTAGGAGGAGCAGCTGCAGTATCAAAGTCTCCAAAATCATGATTAAAGCTTTCCTTAGTGTAAAAATAGATTTTATTTACAATAATCTCCCTTAAATCAATACAAGACATCTCAGCTAAAGCTTAACCTTAGCTTATTTTTACACAATTGGACCAACTGGACAATCGTTTCATCTTCTTCCCTTTAACATCATTACCGTTGAACTCTTACTAATAGTACCTTTGTGAAACCATCTTTACTTTGAGAAAGTGAATACTTTGTTTAAACTAAGCAAAACTCAAAGAAATCTTATTGTATTTTTATTTTTTACCTTCCTGCTCAAACCTTATTTCTGTCTCTTGAGTTATTCTGGGTTGTTGTGACCTGTTTACCTTATGAGCTGAGGTCCTTTCTCCTGGGTTAACCCAGTTTAAAGCTGAGTGACCTGAATCAACAGGTTTGCCTCCTTTCACCTTTCATCGTGCCTTTAACTGCAAGCTGATTAACAGCTTCATCCTAAACATATCCAGGAAGACTTGAACATAAGATTCACTAGAGCAGGGTTTGATTATTTGCTTGCTGTATTTCTTGTGTTTTATCCTACTTAAATATATATTGCTCTTATCAAAAGCAACAAGAACCAGATGCTTCTACTTAAGAGTCAATTATCAATGTCCGGTTTTGTCTTTACGACCTAATTTAGCTCATGTTCACTTCTTTAAGAGTTGTTTTTTCCCTCTCTTCGTTTTGTAATTGTCCCTGCAGGCTCTTAACTACGCTCTTGTTTATTTAGACCAAGGTTAGACTTTAAGTGAAACCTTGTCAGATTTTTTTCCACACGCATGCGATCTTCTCAAAGCTGGAAAATAATTTTAACCTTAGATGTGATCGAGATGTAAACACTAGCTGGCAAATCTTTTAAGTATGAATTTATATATATTCTCATTGAGGCTATGTTTTTCTGTTTTTAGCATTTCATGGCTTTGATGGTTTGTTTTTGGTTTAGTTTGAATTAGAGGTAAACGAATGAATCAGCCGGCTCATAGTTGTTGGGTTTTTTTTGTATTGGTGAACAGGTGCGGTCATTGATTCTTTAGTGCATTGACATCCTGTGCAGCGAATGCATTGCCGCTTCCTCATTTTGCTATTCACTATGAATTTCTTTTTTACTTAAGAAATTTTTCTTTTTTTGCTTAAATTGAGACTTCTGCAAAATTTCTTAATAATGTGTTATTTTTTTATCATTTAAATGGGGAAAGAAAAAAATGACAAAAGCCTCAAAAAACGTACCGGACACATCAACAGCACATATTGGGTTTAGTTAGACTGATGTTAAAATACTCAGTACCAGCATAGGCAAAAATAAGAAAAAAAAATTGTTTATTGGTGGATCCCTAATTTGAATAAGCAGGAACTTCATTAAAGCGATGCTTTCTGGGGTTTTTTAACTTCGGGATGAGTTACATTAATCATCTATGATTTAGGTCTGCAACTAATGATTGTTTTGCAAATCTGATTATTTTCTAAATTGATCTATTAATAATCACATCCCAAAAGGTTCCTTAAACATGACTTTTTACTAAATTAAAACTATTCTGCTTGAGGAGTTCTGGATAGAGCGTATTGACAAACAAAATAGCTTTTTTTATCTTAAAGGCTAAATGTTTATATATTTTATTTTTTACAATTTTGGTACAACTGAGGCTCAAAGGTTGGTTGATCAGTCACCTAAAGGCCTATTTAAGAGTCTCTAAACTCCAGTTAATGATTAATCGATTACTAAATTAGTTGACGATTATTTCAATAATTGATTAATCCCGATTGTTTTAGCCCTACTGTGATTAAATAAGTCAGTCCACCCTGAATGTTTACATTCCCCGTCTAAGCCTTACCCTGCAGTAGAGCGATGTGGACGAGCAGCCCTCACTGCCCTCCTCCGTGCTGCTGCCCCCTGCTGGCGGGGCGAGCATGACGTTAGCCAGCTGGGGGCGAAGGAGAGCCACGTGCATGGCCGTGTCGCCGTCCTCATCCTCCATGTTGACGTCGGCCCCCTCGTCCACCAGCAGCTGCACCAGGTCCGTGTGGCCCTGTGTGACGGCCAGCTGTAGCGGAGTCTGGTTCCGGTTGTTGCGAATGTTGACGTCACAACGTCCCTGGGAAAAATGAGTTGAAGGCAATTTCATGATTTTTTTTATCAAAAGTGGATTTAAATAAATAATAAATGCATCATAAGAGGCAACAGTGAATCTAACAAAATTAGCAGTTTGCTGCCGCTTCCAGCTCACCTCCTTGATTAGGACCTCAGCTACGTCTCTGTGGTTGTTGAGAGCAGCCAGGTGAAGGGCAGAGAAGCCATCTTCCTTTTTCACGTCCACCAGCTGCCGAGCTCGAGCCAGGATCTTTTCTGTGGCCCTGAAGGCAAAATAAAAATAAACAACTAAATTTTACCCGTCACACCTCTGCTAAAGACTTAGAAGTAGACTCAGATTATACCCTGGAGTCTTACATCGATTTTACTTGTTTTGTTTTTTTTATTTGAAATACATACAAAATAACCCAATGAAGTCAAACTTTCCGATCAAAAATCAGTGTCAAGTCATAAAAGTTGTTAATGGGTGCTTTCTATTTTGCAAAGATGAATCTGTGGAGATTTTAGACAAACTCAAAAAGACGAAACACCTTTCTCTTTTGTTTGTTAAGAAGTTTAAAGACTGTTGAGGCTTTTTCTCTTTACTCTATGATAAATCATTTTTTCATGTTGTGCTATTATTAAAAATTAGCTGTTGTGACTGAAAGAAGCTCCCGATAAATGCTCTCTTTTTCAAAGATCTTTTATTTTGTGAGCTTTTGTTCACCAGTGTCAACTCTCTGTTGGACCAGTTAAAACGTTTCTGCTTTTAAAAAGCAACAAACTATTAAGAAAAGGAAGCCCTTATCTTTACGTCTCAACTCCTGACATTTGGACAGAGATGCTGCTGTTTTCAAAGCTGTTAACAAGGAAACACAAGCAGAAAGCATGACTCAAGGTAAAGTTTAAAATGTTATGGCATCAATCTGAATCGGTCAGGTTACGCTGCGTTTTGCTGAGTGTGAGTCCGTCTTTAATTGCAGAGCATAATGATGCCTCGTTCCATGAACCACCACAACTGTGCTTGCACTTAATGCAGAGCGGGTCTGAACCGCACCGTTGAATACTCTCTCTCTCTCTCTTCTCTGCTGTTTGGCTGAGTGGGCTTTATGAAATGTGAAATTGAAGCCGACAACCTTAGCGAGCGCCTAGGAAGCTGGCAAATCACCACAGAGGCATTAGTGTGACATGAACCAAAACTTCTGAAGGAAGTTGGGTTAATTTACAGCTGTCTCTGCAGGATTTCCCTGGTAATAAATGATCCCACCGTCCGCAATTTAAAATGAAAATAAAAACAACAAGGAAAAGGGTTCAACCTTTGATGCAAATGTCTCGAGTGATTTGCAAAGGCTTCTGCAGGTCAGCAGAAGCAGATATCACCAATACGATTATAACGTCCACAGACTCATTATTGTTCACTGCTGATACAGTCAGAGGCATGCAACATGATCAGTCATATTCAAAGGCGTCTAAAGAAGACATTGCCAGAGGTCACAGCTACCTGCATTGCAGATCTGTGAGGCTTTGGTTCCAGCACTGACAGAGGTTCCTGTACTGCAGTTCCTGGTTTTAAAACCACATTCATCATTATAAACAGCTCATTCTCTTTTATTCTCTTTGAAGTAGTCAATCTTATCTGTACAAACTCACCCCCAGTTTTCTCCTTTATTTATAAACAACATTCTCCTACATGCATTAATATTCAAACCTTGCTGACATTTTGAGGCAGTTTTGCTTCAACCTGCTTTCTCAAAACTGCCAAAGGGCATCAGTAATGACTACGGAGACTGAAGCCATCATTTTATTTTTAGGTTTTTGGATCATCGTTCAAGCGTGCTGTGTGTTCAAAGCTCAGTGAAAGCAAAATAAAAACACAATGTTATAGCTAAGCTTCCTATTTAAATTAGACTTATTTCAGAGATTTTATTTTATTTACAATGATTAATATGACAAATGATGCAGCAAAATCTGATGGTGACATTACTGTAAAAAAAATGCAACAATGACTGGAAAATAGGGACTGATGATGATTAAAAAAAATGAAATGATTTTAATGAGAAATGACTAAAGTCAAGCAGCATCTATTTTCCTGTAATAACATTTAACACACCATCCATCCCCTACATCCATTTGCCTCCTAGGAAGACATCTGGCGACATGCCTTGCTCCTTCACTTTCCCAGGCCTCTCTGTGAACTTGGCACATTTTTTCCTTTTTCCATTTCCTCACACAATAAATGGGCTGATAAACAAACCGTTTTTGTCTTTCTGTCACAAAAAAACAACAGATGTTCACAGCTGCTCCCGGGTTGTCTTTCTGGAAGGTATTTGGTTCAGAAATTTGAGTTCCACTGCTCTCCAAGAGGATGGGTTAAATGCAGAGGTAAATTTCTCCAATGTGAGATCAATAAAGTGAAATTATATCAAATATTAAATTTTAAAACAACCTTGAATATATATCTCTTCCAGGCAAAACATCAAAAGATGTACAGGTTGTCTTGTTTGGGGTGAACGTCAATGGAGATTTGGGTTAACAGGCAATTGGCAGCAGAAACCATAAAAAGAATTAGAAATTGATTTTTATTTTTAGTATTAAAATGTATTTTAAAATCAATTTCCTTTGTCCTTTAAAAGTAATGAGCACAAAGACAACCTGTTACATGGACTGCCTGACAGTCGGTGATACATGAATGAAGAGGTTAATAGTAAGCCAGGTCTCTGCAGCAGACGCTGTCCGGCTAAACGAATGCTGAAGATTGCAGCCTAAATTCAAAGAGCGCATCTGACATCATTTCAGGGCATATTGACTTATCAAATGACTGCCCACACTGTTTTCTTTCTTACACTTATATTTTATATTGTGCACATATAACATTGAGCTGAACAAAGACTGTATTTTTAGAGCACCCAGGAGGGTCCTAATTTTTTAAATAGGTCATGTGTGACTAGGTGGCTTGTATGAGAATTATAACGAGAATAAAGGGGGAGGTAAAAGATAAAAAAGGTATTTATATAGAAAATGAGGGACAAATAGAGCAAGAAGTAGTAGTAGTAGTAGTGCTGATATTGATTTAGAGGAAAGACTTTGGCCTTTGTCAAACAGGAGGATGGTGCACATAAAAAGAATGCAAAACTAGAGTTTTAATTTAATTCTGGCAATCCAGGTGTTGTTTTGAGTTTATTCAGGGATGTTTAAAATCTATCACTCCCAAAAAGTTGTCCAGGTTTTTCTTTATGTAAAAAAAAAAAAAAGTCTTCCCCCATTTCTGGTAATACTGTAAATACTTCGGGATTAATGGTGGTCCTGGCTGTTCAGGTTCATGTGGAAGCTGCCTATACAACAGCTTCCACGTAAATCTGCCTCTAAAGCCCACCCATTTTTTTAATATTTTGGTAAAAATGCTAAAGCAAAATGTTTACATAAAAGCTCATATAAATGGGTATGTTTTGTAAAAGTTCTCCACTAAATCCTATTCCTGCCTTATTAAGATTTGCTGACTTCTTTTTCATTTTTTCTTTGTTTCTATTTTAGGATCCATTTTAAGAGAACCAGAAACCATTTTCCATGACATAGTTTTGTTATATTTGGTTTGGAAAGTTTACGGCATGTTAGAAAGCTGCCATGAAGAGCGAATCTCCTGTCAATAGTTCAGCAAACTTAAAGCAACATATCCGACACAAGTTAAACACAAAACATGAACATGAGACTGGTCCAAATATGGGGTTGAAGGCACTTAGAGCTTTGGAAAACAAAGAGAGCTTCACTGCTGATGTTTCTGGCTTCTGAAGTTTTTCATATTTCCTGCTTACAGACATGTTCATTTAAAAAAAAAAAAAAAGTTCTCAAGCAAAAAAAACAAATGTTTAGTACTTTATTAATGGGATCAATCTACAGAAAACAAAAATCTTTATCTTAACTTGATTCAGGAAACCTTATATGAAAACCTTATTTGACATTGCTAAGTGTTAAGAAAATTGTTAAAAACAGTCCAAGATAGTCCACAGGAGAGTTTTTAAGGATTACTGATCATAAAAATATGAAGTGTCTGCTCACGGGTAGGAGCAGGGGGAGTTTACTTGATTATTTATGTTAAACCGAGTAAAATCAAGCCTTATTTTAAGCAACAGAAGCTCCTCAGCTCATAAAGGCTGCACTTCATGAGGAGCTCCTCAGGGCTCTATCATGGAGCTCCAATATACAGGTCAATTTATTTTTGGATTTATGAGTTTACTTTAAGAAGATACACCATAAATCAATTTTCTTCTTTGCACATGAGGTCTAAATCTAAAGAAAGTCTGTTCAGGGGTCAAAGCTAGCTTTTTTCAAGGGTAATTAGCTTGAAAAGAGTTATCCCAGCCTTCATGTAAACATAAAGATATTACTGTTATTCTCTGCATGTGATATCCATGGGTGGTGATGCAATGTGCTGCCGTTTGATTATTAACCGAATACAATGTAAAGTATGTAAGAATCCTCAAATCCAAATGAATAACAAACTCTAGAGACATTCAAAGACACCCCTGTGCTATTTGGCTTGCAGTGTAGAGTGAGATAGATAAATCGGCCGGCCACTGTTTTTGGCCAACATTTACTTTTTTCATGTATCAACTGATACACGCATGCAATCTCTGATTCATTAGTGCATTCAGATGACTTGAGATTCTTCCATTTTCTTTTCATTGTTAGTACTTATTTGAAGTTGCTAATACATTTTTCTTTGTTAACATTGAGGCTTGTGTAACGTTATATTTTTGTGATTTTTATCATTTCGAAATTGGCAGTACATATTGGGATCGGTTAGACTGATATCAAAATAATCGTGATCGGCCTTAAAGAACAATTCAGGACTTACATTAAAATAAAAACGATACTTTAGCATGAATGTTTAAGTATTTCTCTTGTATTTTTGGTTTATTGGAAAGAGTCCTGTCGGAAAAGTCTCTCATTTTTATTGCATTTAATACATTTCTAGGATTTTAAAGGAGTGTTAGAGCTGCTGGAACACAGTAAAGAAAGATAGGACATATACAGGAACATTTGCAACAGGCATAAATGTTGTATTACATCCGAATGAGAGGTTGTCAGTGTAAAAATGTTGACCAGACAGGCAGAAGCCTGGTTTGTGATTCAGATTTGCTTCCAGTGTCAGGAAAAGTAAACCGACCACACAGGAAAATGAAGGAGCTCAAATGTGACCAGCACTGAAGAAGAACCAAGCATAAAGTAATCATCTCATTTATCTTTTATAACCTTCTAACCTTCATTCCCACATTTTTTTCTAAAGGACCCTGTTTAACAAGACTTACCAGCTATAGAGAAAATGTATGCATCTACTTTACCAGTAATAGCATGTTTACACTGTGTACTTCTGTATGATAAACACATTATTAGAATAACACAGACTAATTACACCTTTCAGGGACAAGCTTTTAAGCAACAGGGACACGAAGGGAGGGCATTATGTTGTGTGGTGCAAGCTGTGACCAACTACAGTGAACATACTGTAACACTCAGAGATTTATTGTTTGTTTTTTTAGCAGCAGCAGGCACCTTAATAGACAAAGTTCATGATGGTTGCATTGGATGCTGGCATGAAAAACAGAATGTTATATGATGTCCAAGAGTTATTTTCACAACATTCATATTTTTAAGATCTGATTACAGTTTTAAAAGTAATAACTAATTTATTTATTCAATTTCTATATAACAATGTATTTAAATAAATTTGTTGTTTAAGGCAACAGATTTTTTTTTTAAGGCGAAAAAGAAACTAAAACCTGTTCATTGCATTCCCAAAACCAAATGTGCCAATAAGAACTTGTTGAAAAGAGGATTAAGGCTGAGACATATCAGTCTCTACAAGCTAAGCTCTGTTTGGGGTTTCTCTCTGTCATAGTATCTGCAGAGAGAGTCCATCTATAGACCATTTTTTCCTCAGTATAAACAAGCTGAGCACTAAATTTACAGCTGAAGCTGCTGCTCAAACCAGCTCAAAGAAAATTGCAATGTCAATTAGTTTGGTTCGATAAACCTAAACTGGGGTTAATCTAAAATATTTCCCCCCAAAAATCTGATTATTTCTTCTTTTTTTCCTCTATCAAGTTTAATAGAAATGACAAATGACACATTACTTCAAAAACTAGCTTTTATTTCCATCATACTGTGTCTTTCTTCCTGTCAAACTCATGATATTCCCATCAAACTCCTGTGCTGGAAGATTTCTGGTGTGCTAATTTCAGCATATTTAGAATTGCTATGCTCATCTTGTTACATCTACATACATGAAATGTTTTAAAAGGCAAAGAGATGATAAAACAAACAACAAACTACAACCATAGTAAGCTGTTTATGCAGCCTCATAGCCTCAATAAGAATCAGAAAAATGTGGCTGGATTTGACGTCTTCCCTCCATAAATGTTTACCATCCCATCACAAACAGAATATGATATTAATTTTCCTTTGTTCCTTTAGAAAACAAAAGGCGGTCTCTCATTTTTCTTTTTCCTTTAAACAAAGGAACAGAATCTAAACACATCTTGTTTTTTTCTCAAGTACTCAAGTAAATTTGTGATATCTAAATATTTACATTTTTGAGATTAAATAACAATTCCTTTACATTTGGCGGATTTTCCTAGCATGCAAATCTCTCTGAAGGCTGTCAAAGGGTCTCAATATATACATTGACTAGGCCACTCAGAAACCCTCTGAACTTAAGACAGTCTTTCTGTTGCAAAATAAGAGCTCCTGACCTCAAGTCCTTGAGGCAGACAGCCTGTCTACTTTTAAGGGTAGCCTTAAAACTTTCCTTTTTGATGAATCTTATAGTGGCTCAGTTTATCCTGAGCTTTCTCTATAGTTATGCTGCTATAGGCTTAGACTGCTGGAGGACATAGTGATCCTTTTTTATTATTCTGCTTCCTTCCATCTCTATTTTCCCATTCTGCAGAATGTGTTAGTTCAATCTCTAATGATATTCCCTCTCTACTTTCTCATAGTAGCTTCATCTGGTCTGTTCCTGTTTGGCTGCGACAACATCCTGGGGAGAGATATCATCTGTGCTGCTTCCATCACACCTTTGTTTATAGATGTTTGAGATTAGCCTATTTTTCACTGTAGTCCTGTTTCTCTGACTGTGACAGTCTGGATTTGCTACCTTCATCCTCTGACATGGGAGCTGGTTTGGAGCTTGCTGCCTGGCTGTGCGTTTCCTGGACGGGGCCGCCTGTGGAGCTGGTTTACAGCCTTTTTTTATCTTTCTGTATGTCTGCTTCTGTCTCCTTGAACCCCAGTTGGCCTCGGCAGATGGCCGCTCACACCGAGTCTGGCTCTGCTGGAGGTTTCTTCCTGTTAAAAGGAAGTTTTGCTCCCCACTGTCGCTACAAGCATGCTTGGTGTGGATTGAATCAATGAGGGGATGCATCAGTTGGTTTTGAACCAGTGAGATGGTTTTGAATTGGCACTGTATTAATAAACTGAATTGAGTTCAAAACACTGAAGTTCAAGTCTATTTGTTAAAATGAACAAACATTCAAAAAGACATGTAAGTTTTTACTTAAAAATATATTTAAATCAGCCTTGTTTTGTGACCATTTACAACTAAAACACTGTTTGATGAGCAGACTGACACCTTGGTAGTTCAGAGCAGATGCATCTATAAGCATGTAGCCAATTTTCCCGATTTTTTTTCGGAAGTTCCTGCCCTGCTCTGCAAATGAAGTCAAAGGAGTCAATGTTAAATGGGTCTAACCTAGAAAACAATCGAAACGTTATATTTAAGATGGCTTTTGTGGATACTCAGAAGCATCTGGCTTCCAGCTTTACTCAGATCAACGGCAACTCCAGGTAAGATGAAAAAAGTTTTAAAAATGGTGTAGTATAAATGCGAGCTACTACAACGAGCTGAAGAGTGCTGTAGTTTTGTATTTTGGCCACAAGTGGCAGTATCAATAGAAAACTCCATAATGTGTCTTTAAGTTCACAAAACAGAGGACGAAAAAGGAAGCCAACAAATAGTTTCCATTGCACTATCCATCCTAAAATGCATATAAACATAGGAAAAGCGATCTCTGAGCTTGCCCTTCCTGGGAAATGTTCCCTGTGTTGAAAGGCTGTTTGGATTCCTAGAATGTTTGTTCCCGAACAAATGCCAAATCTAATTTGACCCCAAAAATGAGGATACTGCATATTGTCAGGGGACGAGTGTGTGCATAGAGAGACACAATGAAAAAAAAAACACTGATTGCTGCATTTCTGACTGATATTGACTACCAGCCTGCTGACAGCAGCAAAACGCTGTGTGGGAGACAAGCTCTCTGTGAGCTTTCTGTAACTGACCTTGGAATCCTCATTTGAACCAACAGTAGATTCCCACACACACAAAATAACCACATTTTCCAAACACCATTTACATGCATTCAAACTGATATGTTACAAAAGACACTGAGAAAAAAAAACACTGAAGGCAACATAAATATGGCTCTCAATTAAAAAAGTACACCAGGTACAGAGCTTGTAGTAAGCTAAGGATTATTATTATTTGAAGTAAAAGGGTCGCTGCTTATATCGAACAGCGGGTCCACATGGAAGCATAAACTGTGAAGGTCTTTTTTAGGGTTGTAGATGAAACATAAAAATGCAAAGTTTGTGTTTAATGAATTTAAAGCGTAAACTGTTGGATATGGTTCTTACTCACAGTTTGTTTCCTTTGAGGGCGGCGTGGTGAAGCAGGTTGAAGCCTCTGTGGTTCTGCTGGGTGAAGTCAATGTTGGGCACTATGACTAGGATCTCAATAATGCCACGGAAATCCTTGGCAATAGCGTCATGAAGCGGCGTGTCCCCGTACGAATCCTAACAGAGTAATGGAGCAAACAGCACAGTGAGTAAAGCTGCTGCGTTAATTAAAACTTATTTACTTCTAGACCTTTTTGAACATTGATAAAAAATGTGTTTTATTCTGTGCATATCTTCCAATATTAATTCTAAAAACCTGTGAATGTAAACTGGATTTGTTCAGGTTTTCTCTTTCCAAGTCAGAGCATAAACAGACAGAGAAATAGACCATATGCACATTTGTCAGATAAAAACACAGACATACTCCAGGCTGACATGTTTTTTAGCCGAGCAGCCGCATTATTCAAGTAGAATAAACTGAGTTAGTTAGTCAAATCTGGGCCAGGCTGCAGGCGTGTTAGACCATCTGAAAAATATCCATTCAAACAAATACAACATTATCTTAATGAGGCAGTAACACTGGGCCAGAAAAACTATAAATTGATCAGCATACAGACCTATTTAGCTAGTTTTTGAGATTACAGCCCTATTTATCTAATTATTTTGAGACTTTAGCTATATTAAGTTAATTTTCTGGGATTTCAACTCTATTTAGTTTTTTGTCATGAGATTACAGCCATATTCATTTAATATTCCTGGGATTACTGACATATTTAGCATTTTTTTATTATGGTGCTATATTCATCTAGTTTTTCTGAGATTACAGTTATATTTAGCTTGTTTTTCTGAGATTACAGCTAAAGTTAGTTTTGTTTTAGTACAGCACTATTTAGCATTTTTTCTGAGATTACAGCT